GTTTTTTTTCCCAAATATAATAAAATAAAATAAAAATATTGGAGTAGTTTGACAAATTGGTGTCAAACCACTTGAAATTCTTGAAACAGTTACAAGTTACACCTGTCCTTTTTTATTTTGAGGGGCCAAAATCATCAAATGACGGTCTGGCCGAGCAGATAGTCTATCGAGGTCAACTACGTGCCGTGGCCTAGTTACCTTGATATTGGCAATCTTCCCAGGGTCTGTGGTGCAGCCAATAACGATCACATCGGAATGTCCCAGGAGCATGAACAATTGTCATAAAGAAAAGCATGTCACCTGCTTCTCCTTGAGTATCTTGGCCCTGGGGTTGGTGTGGTATCCGAACCAGTCTCCGTAGGTGGCCATGCGCACGTTGCCGCCGCTCAGGTTGAAGATGCGAGGGAAGTAGGGGATGTTGTATGATGGGAAGTATGTAGTGCGCTTCAGTTCCTCCGTCCTGATAGCACAAGAGACATTTATGAAGTATAAATCAGATTAAAATATATTTTCTTCTAAATAGCCTATTGTTTAAATTTTTGTCAAATTTGCGCAATATTTGGGAACTGGCTGCTGCGCAACCTACTGAGATTTCGATTTTTTCACGCCATAAGTTTTATTATCCGCAACCAAACAATATTATTAGCTAACCCAAATTATTAGGTATGGAATTGGATACTTCTTAACTTAAAACTGGCTTAGGTTTTAGTCTGGTACTCACAGGTCTGCAGACTCGATGATGCCAGGCAGTTGTTCTACCACCCAGAGCAGGCCCGCCTTGATGAAGCCGGGGCAGTGCGTGGTGCGCGGCTTGAACTTCTTGTAGTCCACTACAAACCTGCGAGAAATTGCTATTAGTGTGATCCTAGGCACTTTACACATCACAGAACAACATTGAAGGCTTAAACGATTACCATTGCTTTCCAAAGCCAAATCGTGTAATGGTAGGTAATGTTAGTTCTTATTGTCTCGTTATGGAGCTTAGAATTTATAATTGACATCATTACCTACATAGTATAAAACAAGGTCGTTATTCGCCGCCTGTCTGTCCCTATGTATGCTTAGATCTTTGAAACTACGCAACGGATTTTGATGCGGTTTAAACAACATGTAACGGATTTTAAATAGATAGAGTCATTCTTAAGGAAGGTTTATATGTTACATGCATATTCACATATTGCACACGTACAAAGCCGGGGCGGGTCGCTAGTTTAAAATAAACGCTTAGTTTTTGGTTAAAGTTACCTTCTATGTCATCTATGTAGATCATATTAAACAGAGGGCATTTTGTTGGCAATGGAATTGATATCACAGAATTTGCGAAATAAAATGATAGACATCTTTGCCCAACCCTAAAATGGTACCTACTACTTAATCACCGTGTATTGAAAAAACAAGAAATATGGCTCACCATTGGTTGTTATACGTCCCACTATTGTGTCTGCTGAATATATCGACCCACTGCTTGCCATTCCTGGCCAGACGGTTGGCCACCATCGCACGCGCGTACTCCAAGATCTAACGATATAACAAATTGTTTTAATTAAAGATAAACTGTACAAATAATAGCCAAATTCAATTTTTTATAGACGTCATTGGATACATTCTCGAATACGAATCTAAATTAGAGTGCCTGGATAACTGAATGCCTTTATGTATATTTTTTTATGGCATAAGTCGGTAAACGAGCAGACGGATCACCTGATGGTAAGCAATCGGTGTCGCCCATGGACACCTGGAACACCAGAGGCGTTACAAGTGCGTTACCGGCCTTTTGGGGATTAGGAGTTTTGAGGACCGTTGGGGATTCAGGGATTGGGGAGATTGGGGAAGGAGAGGGTAATTGGGCCTTTAAAATTTATACAAAATTGTACAAGATCAGATACCATTACAACTACAACTACCTATTAACCCATTGGATAATGGCGTGCGCTTATAATAGTAGGTATTTCAGAAGTGAAATTTTTCTTCGCGAAAATAAGTCCTCGTGAGAAAATTCAACAAGGTATGTACCTGTCCCACTGGCTTCACGTGCTCGAAGAGAGAACGGTTACTGTTGCCGATGGTGGTCTCCCCGGCCGTCAGCCCCGACGATATGATGTAGAAGTCATCTGTGGACTGCCATGGAACCTTATATGACAACTTTACCGGACGAAATTGTGGAGAGATTTAAATATCCTGTTTTAAGCTCGTTATGTTTTTAATTTTAGAGGTAGGATGTAGGTAGGTACCTGTACAAAGGCAGGGTAGGATGTGAGCGACATCTTGTAGCCGGGTATAATCTTCTTGCCGCCGGGCAGCACATGCAGGTACATCACGTACATCTTGTGGAACCGCAGCATTGACTGGTAGCTGCAGGCAACGTTAGTAGGAGTCGTTTTTAACATGGCACATTACTGCAACATCTATAGGCGTTTGTATGGTACCTTTGTAACGTAAGTACTTATGACCTTAAGCAGCCGTTTCTTCAATTACTCCACTTAACTTACTTATCAGTGAGTAAGTAGATTACCTACACAATAAGGTGATCCACACTTAGATCTTTGGTCGATATCAGGTATTTCGGGCATGAGTATCGAAAGTTTTTTTTAATCCAAGAGAAGATTTCAATTACCAGTCGAGTACGATTTTTATCTTAACTACATAAGGTCGAGATTTCAATGATACCTGTTCCAAGTGACATGCGACACGTAGAGGTTGGAGTGGTCCGGCAGCAGCTTGACGAGGCCGGTGCAGTGCTCGTCGAACAGCTTGCCCTCAGGGTTCGACTTCGGCAGAGACAGCGCGAACGCCAGCTCGTCCAGGTCGCCCAACATGTTGATCCAGCTGATGGAAAGCATTATTGTCAAATTCAACACAACACACAATACAACTCGTAATGTGATGTACTGTAAGGTACTTACATAATGTCCCTCGTGGTCAGCCACTGGTAGGGATCCCTGGTAGCAGCATTGTAGCCCACGGCCAGACCTTCCAACTGGATGTAGTACAACTTCATCTGTGGACCAAATTATATTTCGCTACATTTAAGTCCGTTTAGTCCTTGGAGACAGAGACATTGGGCTTAGGCTTACCTAAGTCTATGTTGAAACAATGATATGCTGCGTGAAAATGTTACTACAACACCTGTAAATCTAGGAATACTGTTAACTACTGCTGGTTTAGAAGACAGATTAACATCTAATCTACACGCATCTATCTTGACTTGATACTTAATTAGTACTTGTTTTAGAGTAACATGGCTATTGGCGAAAGAAAAACTACGTAGCGTAGGTATGTACGTAACCTTTTCAATAATGAGAGGATAGACCAAGGACGTAGTACCTGGTACCAGTAGGAGTTATTGGCATTGCTGTCCACCATTGCGGCCATATACTCCTCGTTCTTATCCACGAACTCCTCGATGAGACCGCACACGTCCGTCTTATTGTAGCAGTAACTGAAACCACCGACATTTTATATTCCCCTCAGGGCTTCTCATCCTCGCCCTCGTCCCTCGATTCTAAATTCCGATGGAAGAAAGGATCGTACCAACTTCTATTAACTTGGTATAAGGGAATAAAACATTAGCAATAAACCTCACCCTTTGAGCATGTTCTGCCAGTGCATCCAGATGAGGTCCCTGGTGAGGAAGCCCTCCAGGTAGCCGGCCGCGTACGCCTGCTTCTCATCAGAGAAGTCACGCGACGTGTGCAACTCCAGGAACGCCCAGCTTACGGGAGGAAAATTATAATTATCGATGTATCTGAACTACAATCAGCAACTTACTTTTCAAATGTCTTTTAAATTTTATAATTAATAACGTTCGGTATTATTTTGCATAATTATAAAATTTTAGATTTTAAGCAACAGCATACTAGGGATAGCGTACTAAAGGAACATAACTGTAAAATAACAACTACCCACATCTTAGAGTATGCACATTGTTGAAAGGAACATTGTGGGTTCCACAGTACTATAAGAATGTCCTACAGCCTAGTGATCCTTGATAGAAGTAAAGGTTTGAACGGTCATCAACATACCCAGTGCTATTGATTTCGTTGCTGTAGGTGGCGCGGGCGACGTACCCGTCAGGTATGTCCGCGAAGTAGTCCGAAGTCTTCACCGTCACCTTGCTCCCGTTCCACTCCACATACCCGTACTTACACTCGCACACGGTACACACACTAGCTACCAACAAAACACACCAGCCTGAGTTCATCACGGTACTTTAAATACTTTGAGCCTCGACACTGTCGCTTGCTTGCTACCAGTCTTCCACAGAGAAGATAAAGTACTTTCCTAGCGATGACGAACATTTATTCTTCATTTGAGCAGTCTGCGTTTGTAAATAAGAATATTTATTCAAATGTAACGTTTTTTAATGACGGCACGACGTTTTGACGTTTGCTGTCAGTGCAGTGTTGCCATTCTATGAGTTTTGAATACTCCGTTTATCCGTGGTTTATCCCCACTGATATGATATGTTTATCCCCTACACTTATTATACTTTTTGACCCCGTTTATGGCTTCTGCTGATAGTAATTTTATTTTAAGTTTAGATTATGTTTTAATAGACATCACGTAATAATACCAAGGAAAAATCAAGGGGTAAAGTAAAAAAAGAGAAGTTGTGAAAATAATTTATTTCTTCTTATTATCCTTATATTACCTAAGACCCCGTATGACCCCGTAAGACCCCGTATCGTTAGTAGTTTTGGCAGTTTATACATCTTTCAGATTATAGGTCACCTAACTTTAACCAATGAATACAAACAGTCCGATATCTTAAATGTTTGTAGCAAAGAATACTGAGCACTCACTACGGCATAGCATCTTTGCATCTTTTTTATCATCTGAACAGAGACCTAAGATAATGTAAACTACATTAAGAAACAAAACCCAAAACAAAAAAAGATAACCAACAAAAATAAAATAGATTCTAAACGTCATTTATTCACAGACAATTTGTTGTCTACTGGAGACCAATTAAATAATTTCAAGTTGAAATCACGATTGTTTCAGCTGGCGGCGAGTTTCATGCCTATTTCCCCGCACTTGTAGCCGACCTCACGCAGGAGGTAGGGCGTCCTCTCGTGCGCCGGCGCAGACAGCCACTCGCTCACGTTGACTGCGACGGGCATGTAGCCTTGGCTCTCTAGGATGTCCAGCACCAGGCGGAAGGTACCTCGAAGACGGTTGCTGTTCATTGAGAAGCACCCTGGTTGGAAGTTCAAGACGCATATCCTGGAAATTGGTACATAAAAGGAACCTTTTGGTTAAGAGCTTACAAGTATTAACTATATGTTTGCCACAAGAAAAAATCTTAGCGCGGCGTTACGTTTTTTTTTAAAGAATTAAAGATTGTCAATTAGGAAATCTTAGCTTAATTTTGAGTTCAGTCATATTTTAGTATATTCTCACGGTATGCTTTTTATTATAGAGGTAGGCAGAGGTGCACTTAATGGCTTATAATGCCAAAATTACAAAGAACAACCATTTTCCATCAGTTATAAAAAAAAGAAAGAAAGGAAAATGCATATATTTAGTAAATTAGTGTTATACGTTATGAGTCTAATGCAAAAGGTACTACTACTTTCTGAAAAGTTTACTCACGGTACACAGTCTTTTGGTATATTCAGATATTCGACCGGAACTTTCAGGTCACCCGCAGCGACTTGTAACTCGATTGGGTAGCCGCCCTTCAGGCATATCAAACAATCTGTAAATCAGACCATTTCATAACGTAAAGGGAACGAAAAAGTGACGTGTGGTTACGACAACATTAGAATACATTCATTAGTCAGTAATCACTATCCGTACATTCCCCGTGGGTTAACACGGCTAAGGGACTATAGATTTAATGAAGACCGTGAAACTTAAACCTTTTAAACTGATCTTCAACCCGTGTCTCAAGCATAGAGTTTGCGGCAAACCAACAGTCAACTTTGTTAGCCCGTTAATGTAAGGGACGAAGAAGCTTAATTAGTCTTTAAACGAAAATACATTATATATATACATGTATTGGAAAGAACATAGTAATTATGTCAAAAAGAGGTTTGTCTTACCAGCAATAAATCCATTAGGCAGCACTACATTCTTGACGACGTACCCCGGCCCCCCCAGGCCTATCGCCAGGTGTTCCTCCAGCATGTCCGTCTTCCCGTGCACCGGGTACACAGACTTCAGCTTGTCATGCAGATCAGCAGGCAGCGTGTAGTCCTCGTCGTGGAACGACCGCACCGCCTCGTACAGCGTCAGCAGCTGCAGGTAGTCCAACACGTTGTTCTCCTTGTCCGAGAAATCACTGATATTCTCTTTGGAGAACACTTTCTTTAGTATTCTGTCGTCGTAATATCCCAGCGACGCTAGCTCCAGGCATATCTTGGCCCAGGGCAGTGCGCTGTTTTTGCCATCGAACGCTGGGTTCCGAGACATCTGTAGTTTGATTTCCTCCCACTGCGGTTCCTCCGGTGTGAAGTTATTGTTCGACAGGCAGTTGATGAAGCCAAATAAGATGTTGGGGCGCGCTGACGATAATGTAGTGGGGTTCGATGCCGCTTGCTGGCACAGGTAGCCAATGAGACCTAGATGTGTGTGAGCCTAAACACACAAATTAAAAATTATGTATATTTTGTGTTGTATTTAAGTTGTAACATTTGTAAAACGTGTTACAAGTTGGAATACTTACTATCCTCGACATAATGCGTGCCACCAGCAGCCCCTTTTCGAAGCAAACTTTATGGTCCACCATGTAGTTAGCGATGGCGTCCATGAGCTGCTCGTGGTAATACTCCGGGTGTTTCTCCAGGATCCGACCCTTGATCCTGGCCGCCGTCGCCAATATTTCTTCATAACGGAGCTGGCGGATTGACTGCGTTAGAATATCGTAGCAAATGTGCAGGAGCTGTGCTCTCGTGGGGAACACGTCTTCCGTGCAGTTCACTTGACATAGCGACCATATGATGGACTTGGCGACGTGTGCGTCGATAGTCTGGTCGTGGAGGAGCAGCGCCGTGACTATGTCGTCGATATATCTGTCTGGAAGGTCGTGTGTGCAGCTAAACGCCAGCATGTCTTTCAGCATCGGCAGGTCTTTGCTGTCCATCTCAAGCGGCAGATGAATTTGAAAGGCTAATGGTAAAGCAAGCTTCAATGCATCGACCAAATGATTGGAACCTTCGAATTTGGTCAATAAGTAGTCGAGGAACATGATTTGTCTGACATTGATCATGTTGATGTAGCACCTGATGATCTGCAGCATGGTCTGCACCACTACGGATTCTGCAGGAACTTTCAGGAAGGAGAGCACTTTCGTGGCTTCAATAGCCTCGTTGACGTCGAGCGCCCGCGCGTGCTTTTTGAAGTTCTGACATAAATCGCCGAATAGTGGGTTTGCGACTAGTGTTTCCGGTTCCGTTGCTAAACTAAACGTACGACAGAATTATTAATAATATTATATTTTTATTATCAAGATTATGTTATTTGATAGAATACTTACTTGCCTGACTTCTGCAGCTCGAAGAGTGAGCGCAGAGCCTGCAGCATGTGCTTGTGTGTCATGGTGGGCATGTTCTTGTTGACAGTCGCGAGCACTTCCGCCGCCGTGGGTGCCGCCATGATGCTGGACATCACGACGTCACAGGAACCTCCCCTCGTCACTTCTGTAGATGCTACTGTGGATAAGGAAGGACTCTTTAATGCCCGGACCCCATACTTAGCAGTTGCATATTGAATAGAGTCCAAAATACATAGAGATAAGGAGTACAAAGGCTACCCACTAATGGTTTACTAAAACTAACTTTAATATATGCCCTACATATAGTATGGTTGTACAGAATAACATAGTTGGATGGAGCAAAGCTTAGTTGCCTTATAAGTATCTTGAATAGCTTGGACTTTTATGGAACACAAAATGCCAGCATAAGGTAGTGACATAATGTTGCTAACTTTTGGTTGGTAAGTGAGAGTTCCAGGTGCTTTTGTACTAGCATTTTCATGGCTTTACTGGTTGAATATGTTGGTAAACTAAAAAATATGGTTCCGTAAATTAAATAAACACAATAATTGTCAAGGTATAAGCTAGGTAATAATCAAGTCTTTAGTATCAAGTTTGATGGTATAGACAATAACTTATTTTATTTTTGGTCATGATCATCCCACTGCTGAGCACTTGTCTATAATAATACTTTACAAAATGTTGAACAGCATTATTTTACATTAAATAAGTGTCTTAAGATATTGGTTTTCTTAAGACTAAATTATAAGAAACTATTTCACTTGCAAGAAACTATTATGTTTATTAGAAACGGTGTCATGATTTCTTTTTAAAGAAGAAAATATATTTTATACTAACTACTAGATGAGAGGGTCCTGTTTCGCAGTGATTTGCCGAGGGGGCTGCCTTTAAGCACATTTCGCCAAACGCTTTTTAATAAAAGCGTCATTATTACTGAAAAAATAAAATTATTACCATTTATTATTATCTCACTTTATAGGTTATGTTATTGAATAAAACTTAGTTAATAAACATGAATTGTAATATAAATCTTCAAAATTAATGACCTTACGGAATAAATAAATAAAATCTTCTGTATTATATACTGATTCAACTCACATTCTATGTATTTAAATCAACTTTGTTCGCAATTTCTTATTCGGAATTCAATAATACAAATATCTTCAATTATTAATAATTTCATACGATTATTACGCCGATCGTCGAATGCGGAATATAAAGCATACTATTAAAGAACATATCAATTCATGGAAGTGTTTATTTATAAATAAAATCAGGTTAAAAATGATTAAATTTAAAAAATTCGCGTTAGTGTGAGTGACAGCTGATTCTGACAGATATTGTTGTGACATTACACATGAAAAATAAACAAATGAACAGTGTACATAAAAAGTGTTTTGTAAAGAATTTCAATTAATTTCGTTTAGTTAATTATGCTATAATGATTCCTGCTTATTTAATATTACATTAAAATTAGCTTTTTCTATATGTAGATCAAGTACATACGAAAAAATATGCAAACATTCAATGATGTCGCAAATCACTCATGCGTGTAACGAAACTACGTTACAGCCGATTCGTTTTTAAAATAGTTCCTACGCACAGCACAATCACAGCACAACCACTCTAGTGGAGTATTTCTATTTATTGACCGTATAAAATAATGATTACTGAGGTAAATCTACTCTAACTAAATAATTTCAGAACGAAAATCAATTCTGCAGCTTTTGAGTTTGACACTGACATACATTACGACTTATTGACAATATTGACATTGATGATTGACGTTTTTGCTATAATACTGTATTCGTTTTCATTCCAGCATTTTCTTGAAAATTTAAATTAAATATAAAATAAATAATGGCCACCCCAGTGAAGAAACCAGACTCTCTATCAAAAATGTTTAACGAAAGGATTGTTAGTACTCGTTCTGATCGAGTGATACGAAAAAAGGCGATAAAACTAGGAGACTACACCTTGGTTCCTTACGAAGACTCTCGCTGCAAGATTACTCTAAGTGATGTTCAGTGTTCCAACGCAGCAGGACCTTGTGAGATTGACCCAGTCAGTCGCATATTTAGTCAATCCTTTGATGGGAACGTGTTGATTGGCGACTCTGATTCCTACATAGACAAGGACTTCGAGTTGATATTGCAGCAGATGTGCTGCGGAGAGGTCTGTGAGGCCAGTATAGCTTACAAGAACGGAGATGGAACGGTGATGAAGGAGATACGATGCAAGATAGAGCTGAGGGAAGTGACTGAGGAGCAGTTGATCAGTGATTGGAGCTGGGAGAGGCTGTACGAAGCTTCTGTACATCACAAGGTACACAAACAGAATTTAATATCTTCAGTATGCTGGCTAATTTATTAATACTTAATTAGTTTATTATTTCTGATAAGTAATTTAAGTATATACAATTTTTTTTAGCCCTACAATAAGGGCAATTACATAATAGAACTGACAAATAAATATAATAGGGTGTAGGTCTTACCTTGCTGTATAAAAACTTAAATATTATTCAACTTCTCTAAATTTATCAATGGAGATTATCCTTCAGAGTATCTTCTTCCATGTTTGTCACGATTCTGTATTTTTCTAAATAAGTTTGTTACTTTTGTACAATCTGTTTACAATACAACAATTACATTTTTCTTTATAACACCTGCACACAATAATCCAAAACAATGTGAATAAAGAATTTAGCTAATTGTCTAGATAATTATTATTATTAAAAATAAAATACAGCATGTTTAAGTTGTAGGAAATGGTGATCTTGGAGTTGCTTGCTTGCTTATTTTCAGTAGGAATAAAGCTCACAGGACACCAGACGCCTTAGTATGAGTTTTACGTTAAAAGTAATTGAACCGAGACTGCTTTCGGCGCTATGATTGGTTAGTTCATTAGAGCCGGCCAATCAGAGCGCCGAACATGTACTTTTCGACTACTTACAAACATGAAACAAACTGATAGCTGTGTGCTTACAATCCTTAGTACAAACTAAGGATTGTAAGCACACAGCTATTTTGTCCAACTGTTTAGGATAGGCTTCCTGCTGTAAAATGATGCATCTGGATAAATACACTTACCAGATGAAACATAAAAATGTTTCTACATCACACAGGCATTGTGTGACACGGTGGTACTTCCTAACTTATTTTAATTACGTAGGTTGTGCCACCTTCAATATAGTGTGACTGCAATCTAGGATGTGTGTAATTCAAATTGTATGGGTAGTTTTTACTTCATGTCCTTATTTACATTTTTTGACTTTTCAATTTTACCCGTATATCTCGTATATCGAGAGCGGTCACCAGTGACCCGTGATAATGTTACATTATAGACCTTATTTCCAATGTTTAGAGACTACTTTTGTAGGAACACATTTGGGGATGATTTTCAACAATTTAAATGGGTTAATTAATAAAATATTACACATACACACATCCTGTGAATACTATTCTACTAATGTAATTATGATTTACATACTATTGTAATATGGTATCATTGTCTTATACGTACAGAAAACAATACTTTAAATTTCCACATTCTCTTTCTCCAGGAGCGGGGAGTAGATCTGATTAAGCAAGGCAGGACTGCGGACGCCTTCCGAAGATTCAACAAGGCTCTGAAGATGCTGATCGCTATAGAACCCGTGGACCCCAAGGTCGTCAGTGAGCAGGTGGTGAAAGATATGATAGAACTGAAGGTAAGCACTCTGTTTGAATAATGGTGTAACTACATTATGTGTATTTGTTTTTATATGGAAATGTTTGTTTCTTTGCTTGCCTTCTTGACAGTTAACTGCTGAAATATAATTTTTATAAATTATAGCAAAATTTATTTGCAAATTTTAAAGAGAGTGTAGATTAATATTAATTAATATCTACAATGACATAACTAGTTCACGCAAATGAAAATGTTCACATTTAGTTCACGCTAAATGAGTTGAGTTTTAGTTTACTAACAACTACTGTTACTATTATAATAAACAACATTCCTAAAGGTCTATATATCCACATAACTATCACATTGTCCAGGTAAAGCTGTACAACAACTTGGCGCACTGCCAGCTTCAGTATGACGAGTACGAAGCTGCCATAGAACTCTGTGAGAAGGCTCTCAAGTTCGACCCAGTCAATGTGAAAGCACTTTACAGGAAGTGCACGGCTCACTCCGGCCTCCACATGTACGAGGAAGCCTGGAAGGACATACAAGAAGCCCTACGGATAGAACCCAATGACAAAGCAGCTCAGCTAAAGGCAAACTCCTTAATACCCAAAATTGAGAAGATAAACAAAGATTACACAACGGTTATCAAGAAGATGTTTGGTTAAACGGTTAAATAGCTGTTGTTACTTGTTGTTAGTGGCCATTGTGTGACTGCGGAGGTGGACATCTTGAGCACCGGACTGTATCCTGTGGCCTGTTGTTGTAGGAGCTCATTGCTCCACTCTGTGCATTGTTGTACAGACGTTAGAACATCAACCAACTCCAATCTGTCTAAAGTTTCCAATAGATTTTCGACCTTATGCAAAAAGAAGAAAGGTAGTCTTTAGGGAACAGGAGCAATGTTTCTTTATTTTGGGAGAAGGATACATGTTCATGCCTGGCGAGCTGTTCCTCCAATCCAACGGTTGTACGGCCCAATGTACAACGAATTAAAACGTATGCTATTCCGAAACCTTGCTTTTGCGATGTAATTTCCTATGCTGGGTCTGGTGATGAAAATCTTTAATATCTTTTAAAGAAATATGACAGATTGGAACAACTTCTGCTGGCGTCTGTGAGTCTCTAATGAGCTTCTTTTGTGTTTCACCAACTCGCTGGCACCTCTAGCTGTTGTTTAACTGGATTTACTAGTCATGCCGCTAATAAAATTATTTATTTTAGGCTCATAACTACTGCACTAATATGTCTAATTCTTTCAAAAATTATAGTGTTCTAAGCGTAACTCCTACAGAAGTAACTAAGTTAAAAACTAGAGCGTCACTGGGGAGGACAAAAAAGACAATTAGCTCAAATCGTTAGTAATTACAGGGGAGGGAGGGAGGGGAGATCTGATCAAATAATTTCTAGCACATAGCCCTTAGGAGAGTCATATCAAATTTTGATAGTAAGATTATTGAATTCGGACCAGATTAATACACTTGGAGCAAAATTCACATCAGACTACAGCAGCTGCGGCTCCAACCACATGTTTGTGGAGGTACCTGGTGCCTAAGTAAAGATGCGCAGGATGTTCTATTGGTGGGCCCTCTTATCTTAGTTTTTAACTCAATTATTCTAAGGCAGAACTCGATTTTTTAAATCTTCATAGCAATTTATTTTAATATCAGATCGCACATTTTAAAGTAATATCTTTTATGTCAATTCGTATAGTTTTTTTCTTATTCTAGTTACAAAAAGACAATGTTGAGAATATTAAAATGTATTGATAGATAGAGGACCATCCCAATTGCTATCCTTAGTAGATTATCCGGCACTATGTGGAGTTTAATATGAAGCTGACTACTAGCTACTAGTGTATTTGACGTGAACGGTGGAACAGGGAAGTTAGGTAAGTGTTTGTAGCACAAATAATAAAACTATCGATGTATATAGTGAGTCGGAAGGTTTTGTACGGCGACTGGCGGCGACGTGTGGCCAAATATAATGACTCTGAATCTGTTTGATACGACTATTGTTGTCCTTTGTAAATCGTATTGTTGCTTGTTGAAGTCGTCTCTTTAAATGCAAATGTTTAACTGGTATTATAAAGCAGTTGCTGGATTTGACAAAATCTGTAATTAGCCATATAAATTATTTTCGAATACAAAAAGTACTAAGTCGGTATTGCTAACTATTAGGTCGATTACTATTGGGGTTGCCTCTTATCATGGCTACCTGACTCGTAACTATAACCAGCGATAATTGCGTGTTACACTTATGTATGAGCAGCTAATAAACCTCTATTTGTTAATAAAGAACAGCAATACTCAAGTGTTGAACAAAATCAGGGTCATATCGTAGAGTAGTTGTACTAGACTAATATTTCCTATGTCTCGGGCTTAGAGACCGTTCCTGCATCCTTCTAGCGAGTTCCAGACAAGATGCATTTATATTCTACTGTGATTCTCTTACTTACGTGTCTATTTTTGAGATAATCAACTTTAATTGTAAGACTTCAAAATCTATATGTAATTATGTACTTAATTAAATGTCTGTTGTATATAGAACAGTGAAATATATTCTGTATATGTAGCAATAAATTGTCTTGTTATTTTATTTTGAACACAATCATCTTGGAAATAATTTCTAGTGAATCCTATAAATGGTAATGAACACTCCAAAAATAATTTACCCAAGTTGGTCCAGCCATTCAAACTATGATCTGAGCCTACATAGCTAAGACTTTATCTCTCAGTGACCACATCGCTCACAGTTAAATTAATAAACAATAAAATAAATACTAAATTAGCGTAATTTAATTGTCCTAATTGATTTTCCTTGTAGGTATTTTGAGATGGGAGTAGGTACCTTGTAAGGATAATTTCATGAATGGTGTCTAATCAGGTTTTGAATGGCGGGAAGCGAACCTACCTAATTGCATTTGTAGTAAAAATAGACAACAAAGGTGACGAACGTGGGTAAGCTATTTATACTGAAAGGTCCTTGTCGGAAACGATTCACATTATTTTAGAGCCAACATGTGACGCACGGGTATAAAATATCTTTAGAAAATAGGTAATATGACGCCTTTTATTTCCACAAGGGCTGGCAGAAGTAGATCCTGGTTTAGACCCTATTTTTTGGCCATCTTCACAGGTACCAGTAGATTTAGAATTCCTGAATGTATGCTAACTTAATACCGTTAATAGTACGCACAGATATCTGGGGATGTCCGGGCACCACATCCAATACTCCGTGAATTATTGTCAGTGACACCAGTAATCAATCCACAACAAACAAACAGGGCAATAACTTATTATGAAGTAGGTCCCATTTCCTTTGTTTTAACACACACAGCGAGTTATTAAGAAATAATTGTAAGTATTTTATATTTATAATGAAACAATAATATTATGAGCATGTGTGACTGCGTGACGGGCGGTGGCGCGGAACGTAAGCCGCTTCCCTTGCCGTGGCCGGTTGCTGCAGCCTGTAGCCGACTACTTACTTATAAAGAACATGTTTACATTGAAAATAATAGAAATACTGACTTTCTAACTACGGCTTTAGTTTTTATACACAAATCTCTTCGCACTGATCTCTATGACTCTTTATGACTATTGACTATAATCGTGGGAAAGCATCAAAATCAGTTTAGCAGTTTTTGACTCATGTTTACAATCTCTATTTGGTGAATGGTACCTAGCTACATATCTATTGCTACCTGCTTACCTACTACGTAGTACCTTCGTATTAAAATTTGTGACTCATTAGGTAAGCGTCAGTTTTGAATGTTTTCGATAAACTACATGATAAAACGTGTAGTTCAGTAGTAGCTATTAATATTAAACTAAGTAGTCACAAATATTCTAATTCTAACATCTCTCTAAACAGAAATCGAACTCCACGAGTTCAAAAACTTGTAAACACAAAGCGTCAACAAAACATTGTCTAAAATAAGCCACGCCCTTGACACAGCAGCCGATCAAAATCTCGTCTGCCCGTAGCTATGACATCACACTAGGAATGGAGGCTGTCTGACATCATACAGCCGACGCATTAAATATAAAGGACCAGTAAACCCAGTCCATACGTTTTACGACCACAATGCTATGCCATAATCGACTTTATGTCCGAAAAGTTATGTCTCATAATATTCTGTATGTTTTAATCCTTCTGTAGTTACACGCGATGACCTCACCTACGCGCCAGTTTGTCAGTCGTTCGCGAACCACGGGTTGAGACGTACCCGCTACCACAGTGTGATTTACGCGCAGTTTCTTTCAACACTTCCGTGAATACTAATAATTGTAGTGAGTATTAAACTGTACTATTTAATACATTATGGCGTTGGTATATATTACTACAGTTACAGTGTTTGAGTGTGGATATAATGTGTTTGAAAATGTTGCATTATATCATATGTTCGCAGCTCACCTGTAGGTAACTTTATGTAAACATAGCCAAGTTGATTGGAGCGCCAATATAATCATTCTACAGGTTTTATTTTACTCACGCTACCCTAATAAGTGGGTAGGCAGAGCTGTGTAACATTGAGCCTAAGTTAAAAACTGTTGTTGTCAAAAGGTTTGTTGTTATGTTAATTGATAGATACTTAATTAAGCCTTATTAATGGCATATTAATTATTGCCAACGGCTTCGCCTCCGTTACTGAGATGTGGGCTACGCGTTTATTTGTATTCTATTGTATCTAAGTATAAGGGCTGTATTTGGCTCTGTACACATTTCCTTTGCCTTGAATCCATAAGTGAATTTAAAATGTTTACATCATGCAAAATATCTTGGTTTTGAACTTATTTATGTAGGAAAATATGAACAAATGAAATTTAACGGCACGGTATAACGTAACGTGCTGATTTCTGTAATACTTAAAACCTATAGGTACCTAATAATTTGAACTTGTAAGCTTATTGTCAAACACAGTGTCGTGATAACTCCATTGAATGCTCACTCTTGGCATCTTCTTCACATTTCATTGATTGATTAAGTACCAGTGTATGCTGTCCAGTCATCTTTATGGCAGTTTCGACCTTAACACGTAGCCGTTTTGATTGATTTTCGCTTATCAAACTACAATAATGATACTTATGAACAGTTAATATCAAATTCCTCGTGTTGTAATTAAGTAGCCTGCAACTCTTTAATAATTATGTGTCAATGGTCGAACACGCGTGATTTTGCTCGCGACGTATTTAGGAAAGATGACGTCATTGTGTCATGCATTTTAATACAAACGTAACCATATTAAGATATACTAAATTACCGGATTTTAGGTGTACTGTGCGAATAGGCACAAACATTACTCTGATGCTAACTGGTCACCGCACAGTAGCATCACGAATACGTTTCCAACCATATACGATATGACAGCCAGTCGGTCGTCGACTGAGGTTGTTTTATCTCTTTTTCAATGAATATGTCGCATATAGTATATGAGTATATCCTTTAATCTGTCAAACACCAAGCGGTCACCGGTGACCGCGACCTATTGTTCTTTAATTGTGTCTATAAAACCGGTACTCGACGAGTTAAATGTAAGTCTAACTATAAGTGTTCTTTTTTGTTATTTTTGTACTCAATAATCGGGGTGTCGTTTTCTTTTAAGAAAAAACCCTGTAATTAAATAAAGATACAAAAAAAAATATTTTCTTTCTACATCAAAGTTTTGAAATTAGTACGTAATAAAAATGAAGAACAAAAAACAATTAATGTTCATGATTTTGCACTTCCCAGATAGCGCTAGTGAAGTTTAAAGTCATATTACATTAATCAACTTAGTTATCACAAATTGACTGACTAATGACTTAAAATTAGTAAACACTCTATTGGTCAAAAGCCTTAAAACTATACCAGCGCCTCTGTCGCGGAGAACCTAACGGGTTAATATGTAAATATTTATTTGTTTAAATGTTAAATTATAAATAAGGGTTTCAAATAACTATGAATACTCGTGGTTAAGACGTGGGAGAGCCATGCTTCGGCACGAATGGGCCGACTCGACCGGAGTGATACCACGGCCTCACTAAAGACCGACGTGAAATAACGCTTACGTTATGTTTCGTCGCGTGAGTGAGGTTACCGGAGGCCTTAATCACCCCTCCCCGCTCTTCTAATCCCTGAGTCCCCAACAATCCTGAAATTCCTAATCCCAAAAGGCAAGTAACGCACTCTCGGGTGTTCCAGGTGTCCATGGGCTACGCCAATTGCTTACCATCAGGTGCTCGTTTATCGGCTTAACTCTTAAAAAAAGCGGTTCGACATTCAACACTCACTACCACTAGATGTCTTCCACTAATATATATTCACAGCTAGGTATGTACCTACCTAGAATTAATTCCTCTATTGTATTTAAATATGTTAAAGTAAGTACGTCAACAAACACACAGGTAAATACTAAATAGGAATGTGTTAACTGCTTACTTTCCTTACTGCTATGCTATAAGATGTCATTTCGAAGCTCGATGTGAGCTCGATTTTCGCCCGTCATTGGTCGAGATTATTCTCACGACCAATGACAGCGGTTCGCGATAATTGACAACTAACAAAATAGCCTAGCATTCCTGCTAACAATAATGTTTGATATTTATGCACCAGAGGACAAAAGCGCTCTTTTAGCACTTTAGTAGTAGGTTATAGGTATACAGAAAGTTATACATATTAGCCAGCTATTCATTAATGAAAGTCCAGACAAGACTTGAGTTTCAAACATTTATGATAACAAAACATATGTAGGTCTAAATAGAGGTACGACTGTGTGAATTCTTATGTCAGTACCGTGGTCAGTACTTATTCATTGCTAGGTACCTAATTGTGTTATTAAGCGCAAAATTCGTGAATCGGCTGGATACTATTTGCAAGTGATACAATGTAATATTCACATAAGCACATATTGCCACTGAAAACCTATAATAGTAAAGAGCCATCAGGCCACCACAGATGGGGCCCAGTAGGGCTGATGCCGATACGGAGCCGCGGAAGGCCTAACGGGTTGCCGGGGCTCCGGCTCGAAAAGCAGAAGTAGGAACGGGGTGGTTTTAGTCAGTAAGAGTCTGACACTTCCTCTCACGTAACTCAAGGCGGAAAAAGGCATTGGATGATTTTCCCCCCTCAAAAAGAATAGACCTATAATAGTCCCTAATAAAATCCATTCCAAAGTGGTACACGACGGTGGACGTGGAACAATTTTTTTTATATACCACGACGATTAGAAAATGGCACACGGACCATCTGATGGCAAGTGCAGTTACCGTGGCCTATGAGAGCTTGCAACAGTTGTGGCATGACATAATGACCCTTGCCGTCCCTTAAAAAACCTAAGTAATTCTGTTTGAAGTAATGATAGTACCTACAACAGAACTTTACGTACATACCTATGTATAATTATAATTATGTAGTTCTGAAGAAAGTAGGTAGGTATATGATTGAACTTGCAGTTATGGATCGATCGCGTTAGCTATAACTGGGTGTGAAGTGCCTCGAGCAAAGTTTACATCGACCGCTCGTGAGAACCGTGTCAGTCAGACGACGCGACACGCAGACAGATACCCTATATTATTATGTAGGTAAAATATGTATAGTACCTACCTGTGTCAATGTGTCTATCACATTTACTAAAGCCCGTTTACCACCAACGTCTCCTAAAATTTTAAAGGACTCCTTAGGTAAGATAGGTCATGCACACGTGACACGTATGACGATATTTAGGTTTCTAAGTCTCTAAGTGACACCTAAGGTACGAGTAAGGGGTTATCACCGATAGGTGTTCCAAGTTACATAACTCTTAATTAAGGGTGATAGCTTGGGGTTGGTAGGTGGAAACGGCCATTTTTTTAAGGGGGGAAAATCATCGAATGGCTGCTCCCGCCTGGGTGAGGCGGGAGGGAGTGTCAGACTCTTACTGACTTAAAACCACCCCGTTCCTTCTCCTGCTCGTCGAGCCGGAGCCCCGGTTACCCGTTAGGTTCTCCGCGACAAACGGCCATTATTATAGTCATGTGACAGGGTATACTCTTAAATACCAAAACAAAAGAATGATAGAAATGTTTACCTACATATTGACCCACCTCTAGTAGAGCCGTGACCTATCATGTGTAGCCAATATCTGCGATGTCATGGCGAGTCGATTGCCGGATAAAATAATTTTAGTTGATAGGTATTCCGATTACAATATGTGACTTAATAAAGATAACTTTACTTACGATAAATGCATGTCCATGTTATGTTTCACAATTTTATCTCTGCTTTGCTTATCCCACTTTAATGAAAACCACGTGTACCTATGTGCTATTGTATGTTATTAACAAAACATTGCTCCACACTAGAATGCTGTGCATATTGACTATTATTTAGGTACATTGAAGTTTGTTATACACTGCTCGCAAACAATACATTTTTTAATTTCTCCGTTCTCGATATTAACGAGAGGTTCACCTTTATTAATAGAACAGTATTACCTACTTACATAGACTATAGAGGTAGTACAGCTACTATCGAAATACAACAATAAACTTTGCTATTCAATAAATAAAAGAGATAAATAAAAATCATCGTATAAACGCCTGCAATGTGTCTGTTGTGAGCTGCAAGGTTTCTTATCTAGTGGTCTCATAAAGGTACTTTGCACTCCAGGAAAAATACGTGACCTCATTATAGAAGAATTGACTGCACGGTTAGCGCGGTGGTTGGGCAACTGGCTGCCGCGTAACGTATCGCGGGTTAGATTCATTCGCACGGAACTACCCTTTGTGTGATCCACAGATTGTTGTTCCGGGTCTTTTTTTTTAAGGGGGGAAATTCATCGAATGACTCCTCCCGCCTGGGTAAGGCGGGAGGGAGTGTCTAAAAACGACCCCGTTCCTTCTCCTGCACGTTGAGCCGGAGCCCCGGTAACCCGTTAGGTTCTCTGCGACACTGATCCGGGTCACTGACACAGGAGAAAATACGAGCGTGGGGCAACGTGTTTTTATTTAAAAAAAATTGTGCTACGAGCTACCTATGATTGTTATTAGCGAAAATATTGAATATCTAAATTCAAAAGCCGCGAATAACTCAACGGGTAAATGCGGCTTCAGCTCAAAGCAGAAGTAGGAACTGGGTGGTTTTAGCCAGTAAGAGTCTGACATTCCCTATTGTCTTACCCACCCAGTACGGGAGAAGTCGTTGGATGATCTTTCTCGCTAGAAAAAACATCTAGCTATATTTATCCCTTCACTTCACTTCTTGTAGGTAACCCTGTTCAGGTGTTCATAAATATATGTTCATGCTCACTTTCTAGATTAAAAAGGGCTCAAAGTACCTGATACCCGAATGGCGCTTAATAACAGTAATGTATCTTCGCTTCGTAATCACAAAGTAGATACCTACGTAATAAGCTATCTACTACCCACTGTTGCGTCTGTAATTAGTAGTACCTACATAATTACAAGCCGGGAGCCGGGGTGAGGTGACTGATTGCAATTACTTTTATTTAGTACGTATTGTAACGGTATTTACGGTATACTGCCATGACCACATGACCATGTGACCGAGTAACGAACCTTTTAAATCTGTAAATATAATGCGTGTAAATCAAATAAAAAGAACTTGACTAGTTTGCCCTTTTTATAAAAGTTAGGTGAGATTTTATACATGTTTTCTACTTATTTATTAAAATCTAATTATCGTGATTCTCAGGAAAAATGGCGAGTCTGAGATCAGGCAGTGGGGTGCAGGTGGTAACTCCTAGTGAAGACCACACATTTCTGTTGGATGAAGAAGCTCTCCAGAAGCTGTTGCTGCGTCCGGACGTGAAGGACCGGCCGGTGGTGCTGCTGTCCGTGGCGGGAGCCTACAGGAAGGGGAAGTCATTTCTCCTCGACTTTTTCTTACGATATTTGGATCACACGGTGAATACATACCTACACATAGACGATTTAATTAATGCGAAGTTCTCAGTAGTTATCAAATTGGGTAGTTTCCAGGGTATCAAAATTAAAAATCTAATTAGTATATCAGTTAGATAATGAAAAAATATTAGACACGTATTTTTTCTATTTTTCGTATTAAGTTGCAATACTTAGATAAAATGGCGCTAAGTTTAGGATTGTCGCTACGTCATTACGTGCTACTTATGTGACACGCTGTGACGTCACACGGTATTTCAAATTAATATATCGTTTAAAGTATTTAATTTTGTGAGAAAAGAAATAAATCGTGTCTAATGTTTTAAATTAATCTACCAGATGGACATTAAAATAAAATTTAGGAAACTACCCTATTTACAAATTAATACCTAATATGAGGTTTTAACACTCAAGATAACTGCAGATAAATGATCGACATGTTAAAAAATTGCGAGTGATAGTGATAATTGGTATGTGTGCAGTTGTCTACGTTTTTTGGACGTCCCCGTAGGTACTCACGCATTTCCTATTCTTGTCTTTTCAGTACAACAATGGAGACGGAGGCGGTGAGTGGTTGGGAACAGAGGATGAGGCCCTGAAGGGGTTCCCATGGCTCGGTGGCTCCGAGCGGCACACTACTGGCATCCATCTCTGGTCACAACCCTTCAAGGCCACCACTTCCAGTGGGGAAAAGGTAACAAACTGTTAATTAATACTAGGTAATTTCTTTATGCATTTTTTTCCGAGTGATCATATGAAGGCTTTTCAATGACCACTAACTAACTATTTATCTATGGTTCCAGGTGGTGATCCTCCTGATGGACACGCAGGGCACCTTCGACAGTAACTCTACGGTGAAGGACAACGCCACGGTGTTCGCACTGTCCACCATGTTGTCCTCTGTCCTCATCTACAATCTCTCGCAAAATATCGAAGAAGATGACTTGCAGCATTTACAGGTGTTGTTATGATAGATGGTGGACTGTTACAGTTCTTTAACAGCAAATAAACTTTTGCAAATAATTAATACCGATAGCCGATACTGAATACTGGTATCCTATCCATTTTAAACATGGGACCTCTGTACCGTTTTACTTCTTATCCTACTTTCTCCATATTTTAACCTAAAGTCCGGTAAAACGGGCACTAAAATCCTTCTTGGTTAGCAAACAATTGTAGTTTATTTTCCTGACATAAAATGTGTCTTTGTTCCAGTTATTCACAGAGTACGGACGGGTGGCGCTGGATGAGACGGGAGGCAAACCGTTCCAGCGCCTTCAGTTCCTCGTGAGGGACTGGTCCTTCGCATACGATCATCCATACGGACCGGTTGGAGGAGAACAGCTGCTCAAGAAACGACTTCTGGTATAAACTATTGATCTAATTGACAATCTTACATCTTTATAATGTGTAAAGAAGAAAGTTTCCATTCGCTAAGGTTGGAAAAAGTATTTTCTTTAATGTTCATTAAAATTTTGTTTCCAGGTCCGTGACACCCAACACGAAGAGTTGCAGAAAGTGCGTCAAGATATCGCGCGCTGCTTCGAGGAAGTCACCTGCTTCCTGCTGCCGCATCCGGGACTCAAAGTGTCCACTGACCCTCACTTTATAGGAAAACTGTCTGGTGAGGATTTCTTTAGTTTTGTAGAAGTGGTTAAGAAACCAACAAAAAAACGTTTGGTCCTTTAGGTACAGTAGGGGTTAAAAACTGTCCTAAGATTGCTTAGTACAGTACAGACACCACTAGCACATGAACTGATGAACCTATGCCAAGTTTTAAAACGTTAGTATACATTTTCAACTTCATTGTCTTGCAATAAAGACGATAATCTGTTAAAGATATTTGGTACCCAACCAGTGTCACATGGTCTCCACTAAATATTCCAAAAGCGATCATTATAAAAACACTTTTCCTCGTTCATTTCAGACATTGATCCTGAATTTAAGTCGTGCTTGAAGAAGCTGGTGCCAATGTTACTGGCGCCTGAGAACTTGGTCCCTAAACAGATTGGAGGACAGAAGGTGAAGGCACGCGACCTTCTGAACTACTTCAAGAGCTACGTGGACGTGTTCAATAGCGAGGAGCTGCCCAACCCCATGACTATACTGCAGGTCTGTACAAACACTGAGGTTTCTTGAGCCATAGGAGAGTTGAGGGATCTCGAATGATTGCTTATCAAAACTTAATTTGAAAGTAAAAGTGATTATTTTAAAGTTTGCATAATGCTAGCAATGTAGAATGTAGGAATAGCATAATTAAGTGTGAGAGAGTCATGCTTCCGCACGGATGGGCCGGCTCAACCGGAGTGGTACCATACTACGGTCTAACAGAAATGCTGAAATGTGTTTCGTCGACAAGTGTGGCTACCGGAGGTTCAATCCTGCTTCCCTCTATCCACAATTCTGAAATCTCCCAATCTTTAAATCCTTGACCCCCAAATGCACCAGGCACTTGTAATTTATAACTCGTCTGATGTTGAGGGTATCTACAGGCGACTGCAGAAGCAAACAACACATCAGCATCATCAGAAGCGCGCAACGTGTATGAGACGCTCATGGACGAGATCTGTGGCGGCACCAAGCCATACCTACCACAACAAGTGCTGGAACAGGAACATCACAAGTGTCTCAACAAGGCACTGCACTCCTTCGACAGTAAGAAGAAGATGGGAGGCGAGGAGATGGCCACCAAGTTCAAACAATTACTTGTCAAGGTGAGGAGGAGACTATTATCTTCTTCTTTATATGTAAAATTCTTCTGTGAGTGTGTATGTCACTGAACTTCTCTCAAACGACTGGACCGATTTTGATGAAAATTTTTGTTGTGTTCAATTCAAGGGGATCTGGGAATGGTTTAGATTCACAAATCAGCCCGGTAGATGGCGATGCATTCGATGTTTAGGTTATTTATCCTAAACAGCTGAACTAATTTGAATGAATTTTTGTTTATACATTCAAGTGGATATGCAGGACAACGTCTGTTGGGTCCGCTAGTTTGAGTATATATTTTTTGGATTATGAATTATAATGTATAGAAAGAAGATTTCTTCATTACTATACCTTCTAAAATATGAACGTGATAACGTGTCCGTAATTGATGAAGTCAAAAGGTTTTATCAAATGTTTCCTGTTCATAATATTAGTACAGATTATAAAAATAAAGATAGATGGATGAGTAATTAATCGGTGGTTAGCGTTTAGCCACTATCTCGCTGTGGTAGGTAAGCGACGATGCCACCTACAATGGCGCACGCCTGTATAATAATTTAACTGATTCACCAAACCTTATTTTCCCAGGATCTAGAGGACCTGTTCGATCAGTTGAAGGCGCACAACGAGAGCAAGAACATGTACCGAATGTTCAGTACTCCCGCGGTGTTCGCGGCGCTATTCCTGTGTGGGTACTTGCTGAGCGTGCTCGGCGACACCTTCAGAGTTCAGACGCTCGTTGCAATCGGACAGGCCGTCACCATCGGGGCTGCTGTCATGCTTGGAGTCTGGATCTATACTAGGTATTATATATCTATTGTTGTATAACTACTTTGCTTACTTACTACCAAAGTCCGCTCAGCCACTGTATATGGCGGGGTAAGTGTCTTTATAGGGTTTTTATCATACTTTATGAAACAAGCGCAAGGATTCTGATGATGTGTTTTTGCCTGCAGGATGACAGGCAATTTACGAGAGGTGGGGATACAACTAGATGACATAGCAAACAAGATACGATCCTTTGTAAGTATATTTACAGTTTATTTTACATTACAAACCACCTTACCTTCTCCCATGATAGCTAGTTGGAAGTAATAAGCCTTAGTAGATACAAGCAATAGACCATTATAGACCACAACGAAAGCTAAGGTTTTATGCATTTTCGGTTTGTACCCAAGTTGTTAATTGAACTTGAGACCCTTGTTCGGTAGTGGTACTTGCGACTACACGTCCAGTATTAGCAATAATGTTAAATTAATTGCAAATATAATATCTCCAGGTGGTGACGCAAGCCGAGCCAGCGCTCAAGGAGTCATAACAATGTGTCTTCAGCAAGGAATGTTTAACATAAGTGTCATTTAAGACTGGTCAGTTAGTGAAGGCATCAAGCAATTATAGTCTATTGTGTCTTTGGAATAAAGTATAAAGTTCGTCAACATGTCACGCTACATCAAGAACATTCAGGGGCCTCAGGAAAGCGGTTTTAGTGGTTCTGTCGTGTTGTTCTCTGTTGGTGCCATAGCTGAATGTATGCCAGTGACTAGTACTTAGGTTAAGATAATAAATTATGGCGTCCAGAGGGCGATCCTAATGCTTATATTTTTAATAATTACGCTATTTTTTCCTTACTCTAAGATTTTTTTCTGCTTAAAATATTTCTAGCTAGATTTTTTAAATAAAGTTTATTGTGCATATGTGCATTGATTAAAAACTTAGACTGATTAATTCATTGTTGTTTTCAAAAACACCGAAAAATGTAACAAGAACTTGAAACATACTAAATTAAATAAAAATCGCGGGTCACTCACGTAAGCTCTATTAGTTTCGAGTCACAGAGATCTCTTCCTCAGTAGGCTGCGCGAAATCGCCGCGACCGCGCACGCTGCCGAAGAACCCTTCTGTGGCTCGAAACTAGTAGAGTATAATATATCAGTATATTCACTTAAATAACCCGCGATTTTTAGTTAATAAATGTGAAACTTATTTCAATATATTTCTTGTTATTTATGTAACATTGAATATATGTATAATGTTTTCAGCTACCACCCATCTCATGTTGTAATTAATATTATACTGTGTATATAATTACTTACTAGGTACTGTAAAACGGTAATGTTGACGAGAGCGAATGTGATTTTAAATATATTTTATATGGAAATAATAATTTTATACCTACTGTTCTCGACTTGTTTTATTTCTAATATTTATAAGTACACATTTAACTAACACATTTTCGCATTTATAATATACTAACGAACCGCCCCGGCTTCGCACGGGTGCAATATGCATGTATTATACATATAAAACTTCCTTAAGAATCACTCTATCTATGTATTACAATAAAACCACATCAAAATCCGTTGCGTAGTTTTAAAAATCTAAGTACATGTATGGACAGACAGACGGCGGTTGGACTTTGTTTTATACTATGTAGTGATGTGTTAAGTAAGTTTTAATCATCGACTACAGTTACAGCATAAAGTCAACATAAAGTACAGCATAAAGTCCATTGTGTGATTTTATGATTCGACAAACTTATATTTGTGTTTGGTGTAGTAACTACGTCTAGGGATCGAGCCGCACAATTCAGTTTGTTTTTTGTGTGTACTTTTTCGGGGTACCCAGTGTGGTGCCCAGGATATTAAAGTATAATCATACCAAGTTTCATAGTAATTGGATCGGTAGTTTTTGCGTAATGCGTGTACATACAGACAGACTAAAAGACACAACAAATGTTTTAATCATATTTTTGGGTTCGGTATCTATCTAGTAACACTACCTACTATTTTTTTTTTATATTTTCAGTATACGGAATTTACACTTTTACAGTTTATATAATTTATGGATTATACCTATGTATAGCTGGCATAATATAAAATATACCCACTTTTTACTTTCGGTGGTTAAAACACGTCGTATCAAGATTCATCGGAAAAATAAAAGAAAATGAAATTTTTTAGTCAACTTTATTGTATTAAAACAAATATTTACATGAAACTCCCCTCGTGCGGTCGCGAACACAATATAACCATCACAACCGCCATCGTACGTAAGGTTATCAACAAAATAAACTATCAACTCTCAACGAACTATTTATTATCCCATGCCAAATAAACTGAAACAACATTCATTTTCAATGAATTTCGATTGGCACATGCTATATTATTTATATATAAAAATTTTCACGATATGTTACTATTTTACTATAAAACGTTTATTTACATTTTGTTATAAACAACTACTCGAGCGTCTGTAAGTCAGCAACTTGTGGGGCTTGTATGTGGTCGGGTGCGTGCGGGCTGCGTGTGAGATTCAAGTGACATGTGAGAGAGTCGGGCTGGCAGTGTGCAGGTTGTGTGTCGGTGTGGTGTTGCCAACTTACTGGACGCGGGCTCCTACACCGCGGGCGGCGCACTGTCCACTGTCACCAACAGTAGCTCGGTACACAGCGACATGAAGCTGGTTGATATGCTGGCTTTGTACATTGTACCTTACAGTCACAGGTCAAAGTGCACACGGACTTCATTTGTATTCGTGAATACTATTTCAACAGTGCGCCTCTCCCATCTACGATAAACCATGAAGGATCCCTAATTTTGAGCATAATCGACTAAAATTTTGAACACACAAAGACTTATTTAAAAGAAAAATAAAATGCAAAAATAAAATATAGATTATATATCGAACATGATTGACTACTATACATTAATTTCGGACATCGGGTGTATAACAAAATAAATGTTACATTCAGGATTAAGTACATGATTCTTTATACAGTGCAAGGCAACGAGTGTAGGAATATGTTTCGAGACTAAACGTGACAAAATAAAACCTGTTTGTGCATCCTTTACATCTATAATTACACAAGATTATTAACTCTGTTACTTTACTATTAAATTTGTTATTTTACCTTATTGTGTTATTTAACCTATACCTCCTTTGTAAATAGTATAAACCATAAGAAGTGCCGGCCGCGCGCCGCCGCCGGCGCTTGGACCTTGTCGTATAGAATAAATGCAAAATTTATCATATTTTGCTTATTTCTCAAATATTCGTAGACTTATCACAAATGTTTAATGTGGCAATCGTAGGTTTCTCTATCCATACATTACAGTGACATTTCTGTTATAATTTCGGTGAAGGTTACCTCTGGATCCGGGAGCATTATTGCCATTACTTAGGAAATTATTAAAACAAACGTCTCGCGTAACGTACAATGATCTTAAACAAATGTGTCACTTTACAGACAACGATGTCCGTCAACAATAAAACTTTAAACTCGCAACGACTTTCATGATTTTAAATAACGACGCGGGAACAAATAAACGCGGCATTAAGACAAATTGAGCACAGATATAAATACTAGGACAAAATATACTTACAGCAGATTTACTAAAGTTCAACATTTCGTTGTTTAAAATCATGACAACAAATGAATCGTCACTTCGACAATTTATTTATAAATCATCGAGACAGGTCGGGATGAAATAAGATAATTACGATAAACCGTCGACTGTAGTGGAAAGTTTTAGTTTGCGCAAGAACTTTCATTTTGCGCTGTTTGCGCAACTATTTGTTATTAGTCAGGATTTTATTGGGCGTTGACAGTTGCTAATGCTCATTACCCAAACTAAAAGTAATGATACGCGCAACGAGGTTTCAAATCCATCAGCAACGAAGTAAAACGAAAAGAACTATGATAAATACAAAAATAATTTATCTGATGGCTAAAATTATCATATTTCATCCGTCTCCCATTAGAAGACGCGTCGACTAATTTAGTCAACGCACCACAACTAGTCAAGTTAGTCCAGCTCTTAACTAAGTTCCCTTAAACCATATTCACAATACCAGGTCACGATAATGGCCTACTGGCTAAACCTTTGTTACTCGAACATTCTTCGATCATAGTGACTAGAGTCCGACTGGGATAGAAATTGTATGTACAACATCCGCTCGCCACTACTGACTGGATTTTGGAAACATCTGTTCGCTGTTTTATACGCTATGATTTACAGTAACTTTACTTTAGTAGTTATCTTAAATCTTTAGCAGAATTCTAGTGTGATCAACACAAATGAATGAGGAATTTAGTTTTCCAATGTCCTTGTAGCGTCAACGTGTCACCAGTCGGACTCATTGTGACCTAGTGGTCCGTACTCTAAATAAAGGCTACTTTAAATTTATCTAGCAGTGGCCGGGCGGGCGACAGTGCGGGGGCCCGCGCCGCCATCACAACACCTTGTGCTTCCCGTTCTGCGCGGGCGGGGCGGGCCCGCTGCCGCCGCCCAGCGCGCGCTCCGCCGCCGCCGCCGCCGCGTGCTCCATGCCCTTCTCGATACACGCCTGGTACGTCGGCTTCATTAGCTGGAAAACACATACAATATTAATAACGAGTCTAACAAAAGTGTCTCCAATGACATTGCTATACTGTTTATAAAAAGAACAATACCAAAGTTATATCAAAGCAAACACAAGGTACTCACATTCTCCCACAGCACGTTGGCGATGTCATCGATTGTGACACCGATCTCGCGCATCTCTCCGCTGTACCTGTGACAAGACAGATCATGACGGTCAACAGATGAAAAATGAAATGTGATACTATGATTAAATGTAATCAGCAAAGAATAGTAGTTACCGGATGTATGCCCAGAGCACGAGTGTGAGCAGGGCGATGCCCATGGTGAGGTTGGCGAGGTTGGCGAGTGGGTAGAGGCCGACGAGCCCGAACACTCCGCTGAGCACGTAGAACACCAGCGCCAGCGCACAGAACACGGACGGCGTGCGCGCCGCCTTGAAGATGTTCTTAGACTCGTTCTGCGCTCGGAACTGGTTGAATTGCTCGTCTAAGTCCTGGAAGAGTAATAACAACAAACTATTAAATACCACGCAAAATATGTAACAATACATCGCAAGTCATTCACAAAATAAATATCAGATTGATAAAAAGGAATCAACAACATTATAGATTCGACATAAAGTAATAGTGACCTGTATTAACTGGTTGAAGTAGCTCTGACTGAACTCGTCGCCGCCCATCTTGCGCTTGGAGTGGAAGGAGTGGAGCGCCTTGTCCTTGATGCGCGAGTGCTCGGCCTCCAGTAGTTGTGTCTGCAGGTAGGGCTTGGCCCCGCCACACACCTCCTCCATCAGCTTCGTGTACAGCTCCTTCGCTTCCGCTACCGCTGTTAGATTGTTGGCTTCGGCTGTGGCCTGAAAACGACAATAAAAAATAGTATTACGCGTGAATGGCTGGAAGGATGCCTCTCATCTTTTTATTGTGTTTTGTGTTTGCAAAGAAAAGATTGTAACGAAAACGATGGAAAAAGCTAAACTTAGACGGACCCCTAGTATGAAACAGAGGAAATTATTTTACTAAAATACATATTTAGCTTAATACTCATCTGCTATTCAGCGTGCTGCGGTATTTACAGTTATTTTTCGTGAATTTTTGAAGTACTCTATAATACGACAATATAAGACACTGAAACTCTAAAAGTAAATTAACGTTTATCGTGATAAATGAATAGTATAATAATAATAATACTAACCACAAGCATGCTCTTAGGCTCTGGCAGTTCGTTTCCCTTGTAGATGTTCATGTATGACTTGAAGTACTGGAGCAGGTCCTTGGCGCGCACCTTCTGTCCGTTGATGAGCTTCGGCACCAAGTTCTCCGGCGCCAGCAACATCGGCACCAACTGCTGCAGGGAGCATTTGAACTCCATCTCGATGTCTGCACGAATACATACAGAACATTGTTTTATACAAGTAGAAAACAAAGAATCGGAAGTTACTTTAAAAGTCGTATTACGATTATTACAGATTCGATTAGGTATCAAAATTCAATCACAAGTCTTTTTGAAAAAACCTGGCATGAAAAGAAAGGTACCCACTTTTCTCCATGGAAGTGTCACAGTAGAAATTTTGCCCTCTGCATGAGAAATGGCGCATTCCTATCACGTTGGATATAAAAATTGCTCCCTATCAACTGTTTGTAATGGTACCTTTGACTCTGCCATCGAAGTCCTGGCTGGTGGCGACGCGGATGCCGGGGTGCGGCATGAGGAAGCAAGCTATCTCGGAGAAACATGACGTTATGTGCTTGCGCAGGGATTGGAGCTCCGGGTGCTGGTTGGAGGACACCTGGGGAAGATGAGTAGAATGTAGTCTGACTGTATACTTTTATATCTGTCATCAGGCAGCAGCTAAATTGGCTATATCGTGATACGCAAAGACATCATGATCTGAAAATCTTACAACAGCCATATTAATCAATGTGTTTGATGATGTGACCAAGTCACTTGGGCAAAAGTTTTATCAAATAAAGATAGGATTAAAATATTATTCTTTTTACCATTTACTATGAAATAGAAATCGGATCGAGTGCTTTACTTAGGAGGATAAAAACGAGATACAATATGACGTTATTCCGATTATTGTATTACGTTATTGATTGTCTACCTTGAGTCGTCTCTGCAGTATAGTTTGTCCCCCCTCGGCCCCGTAGGGCGCCTCGTAGGGGAAGCTCCAGTCCCTGACGAGGAACTGCAGCCTCTGGAAGGGCGTACGCCCGCTGTCTTCTAGCGCCAGTCGCCCATACTCCGTAAATAACTGGAATATTACATGTTACATGTTAACTTAGACATAGCCGACACATGAAATGACAATGACTCTACAGTTAGTGAACTGTAGAATCATTGTGTAGAAATTATGCTGATAGTAGTAGATATGAGGAGACGGACCCCATATAGTTAGCACAGATCTATAGATGGTTGGGTGTGTGGGTGGAAGTTGTGACAGACTTCTATCGAGAATAGCAGATAGCAATACTGATAGAGATAAGGCATACAGTGATACCTGTTGCAACTTGACTCATTTATCGATAAAATATTGTACGATTACCCAATCGAAATGAGATAGTAATATCTATATTATGCCATCATCTCTAAAACTCTTCGTGACTATAATTAATATTACAAAATGCTTACACTAAGATATAGAACACCACTATTACAGGTTAACAAAATCTTTTTTTTGTATCGGAACCGCATATGTCTTTACGGGTTCCCGTGTTCCGGCTCGAAGAGCAGGAGTAAGAACGTGGTGGTTTTTAGTCAGTAAGAGTCTGATACTTCCTCTCAAGCTTGTCTAACCCAAGGCGGGAGAAGTCATTTGATGATTTTACTTCCTCCAAAAAAGCATCAAATATAGGTTTTTATATAAATGAGTACCTGTAAATGCTGGAGGTCGTCCTCCTGTATGTTCTGTGAGAGGTTGTATATGAGGACGGAGGACACCATGGTGGACAGCGCGAATATGGTGGCGCAGTCTCGCACCGTTGACTCACTGTCGAAGGCACCCTGAGTGTCCAGGAGGATTATCGCTACCTGAAACCAGTGCAGTTTTGGTTAGAACAACTGATTTTGTATACATTAGGAAAGTATCTCTATTAAAAAATATTTAAGCCATCTATGTACTATCGCCTGAGCGCGTCACACGTTTGATGACTGTGTGAAATCTGTTGGATCCCGATCTGGAACATATATATAGATCAATAGTAGTAATGTGTGTACGAACCTTCTCCCCGTTATCGAGCGTGGCCTTGAAGATCTCTGACCACATGAGTATGCCGGTGGTGTCCCGCTCGGAGCCGCCGCGCCAGTTGAAGCCCCGCAGCGGCTCCTCGTCGCCGCCCAGCCAGTCATTGCCGCCGTCAGACCCATACTGGAATATAGACACGTACTTTTCAATTAATCATGTCACAAGGAATCATGATAGCAGAGTCTGAAATCTTAACTGATTCATATGCACAGACGAACTACCAACGCGTTCAGAATATAAATATTTGTTGGGTTTTAGTTATAAGATATAACATTTATTTTTAGTACAAAAGCAACACCTTTAAATATACAGCAAACGATAAGCGTTTTTTATGGACGGTGGCCAGTACGTTTTGATATAAAAACGACAATCCAATGAAAAATTGACCATTTGGAAGACACGCTGGAGTCTTTGCTAATGTGTTACAATAATATTAAACAGTGCCTATACATACATACCTTATGATTCAAATAACGCAAGAAGAAGTCGAGCAAGAAGGACTTGCCCTTGCGGAAGGCGCCGGCGACTGAGAGGACGACGACAGGTCTGTCCTTGATGTCATCCTGCAGTAGAAGTTCCTTGAGCACGTCCTCGTCGAGGGTGAACGTGTGGTCGACGCCGGTGTTCACCACCTGCACCCCGTGCGGGCCGCTGCGAGGCGCCGGCGTCGGCTTCTCTGTTACTGGAGATTTTAATCAATTAGATATTTTTAATTGAATATCTGAATAAAGTGTGATATATGTATTCAGGATACTATTGTTTTGTTGAGAAACTACGCGTGGGAACATATATACGGAATGATAGTATATAGAAAAGAGATATTTTAGATATGTAGTTGTAATATAAAGTGAGTAGGTTAATAGGTGAGAATGCATCTCTCAATATAAGAATAAAGAATCATTTTCTTGCAATGAAGCTGTATTTTCTTTTTATCTTTCACTAACGATTACGACGGTCATCTTTATAATCTGGTGGTTCAGAGTTTAAAATCACAAAACAATTTCTGGATATTTCTAAACAATAAAGACTCAATAACACAAGCGAGTAAATTAACGATAATGATAAGTTTATGGCCGAGTAAATCATAATTAGCTGTGTAATGGGGGCAACGACAACTTAACTGGCATTTTGGCTGAACACCAAAATAGTTAATTTGTTCCCTATGCTATAAACATGGAGTGCCAATATTGCGACGATGTTTTATGCAGTAAAAATCAACTAAGTACTGTATAATTTCGACAAATTAAAGCTCGTATTCGTAAACACCTCTCTTAAATTTTGAACCCCTAAGCTAAGATAAGTGTCATTTAACTATACAGGTAAGCAGTTAGTTTAGGTGCTACATCACGCTAAGTATCTCTTAGCTAAGAGATGGTTAAGGAGTGGTGAAAACGGTCATTAGAGACCTAAAGATCAAAAATCTAAATATAAACGCACTGAAATGTACTGAAAATATTGTAAAAGTATAAATTCAGACTTAATAATATATACTGTATAAAAAGAGTGTAGCATATTAAAATAGTTGCCTCGTCAAGGTAAACAAGCTACTGAAATATCAGGTGTAGTGTAGGCAACACGTCTATAAAGAATATAGTTTCTCACGACACCACGCGAGTAAAAGTGCGAGGTTAAATACAATAAGTTATCTTCTTTCGGCCTCAGCTCGCGTATCGGAAGGTCGAGGATTAACAAGAAAGATAACGAGATATATCTAGGTTTTGCATTGAGATAAACTAATATATGTGTATTGCAGGACAGGCGCCATTGGGTACAAATTCTTTGTTTATGTATCTTTGTGTAATGCTCAACGATTAACTGTCAAATATAAAATCAAATGTACGTAGTTTCGATTCAAAATAACTTTCACTAGTTCTATCTGGTTTTCCATGAAAATTCATTAAGATTGGTTCAGTGGTTTAGGAATTAATATTTAACAAACACTCGATTTCGTATTAAGTATTTTAGTTGTTATTTTGGGAATTACAAATTCATTTTATCAAATAACTATTACTAGACTATCTCTCTTCAATTTTAATAGCATTAAAGTGTGCTGAAAGATAGATAGAAGTAAAAATACTTGACATTTTTAAAAAGCTGTTTCAGTACTATAGTCAAGGAACATAACATTAAGGACAGATGGCCGGAACCTTTTACAATAATTACGATAATGCCAACCGAACGAAATTACGCGAAATGCCTCATTTCTTTCTGAGGATGTTTCGAAATATCGTAGAGAAGTAATGGTGGTAATGCGACTGATGAAATCTACATACAATAGTCAATACATAGTCAGCGCCTGTCTAAGTGATTCAGCGGTAATGTACACAACTACTTATTGACATTATTCTATCAAAGATAATGTACGGAGATTGTCACATCACACGTAAGTAAACATTTATGATTTTTTTCTAAGTCCCAGTATAATCTGCAAAAGTACTCAATATTTCCCATATGAGTTAAAGGATTTTGTCAATGACATTCTTAGATATAAAAACATAATACTGACAAATAACTTTAAAGCCCTTTTCATAATAATGTCGTGTATGAAATGACGAGAAATCACCACTTACATTTTAATGAGACTCATACCACTAGCACAGAATAATTAGTACAAGTCTTTAGTTTATAGAAATAAACGCATTAACTCCGACTTTGATGTTTGCGTCTATTCTTGAGTTCGAAATTCATTGTCTATACTAATATTATAAAGAGGAAAGATTTGTATTTTTGTATTTTTGTATGTTTGTAATGAATAAACTCAAAAACTACTGAACCGATTGCAATAATTTTTTCACCATTCGAAAGCTGCATTATTCAGAAGTAACATAGGCTATATAATATCACGCTAGGTCCTATAGTTGTGGAGCAGTAACCAAAAATGTTTTAAAAACGGGGGAAAAGTATCGTTTCTGAGGCCTTCCGTGGCGTGCGCTGAGCATATAGTTAAAGTTATACAAAAATGTTCTATAGATGAATTGTTTATCTTAACATTATTTTTAAAAAAGTCCGCGAGAGCATATGTCTACCTTTTATAGTTTACCCATAACAATCGTTTTAATGAATGGTTCAATCCTTATAAAAGTTTGCTCTAGATAACTTTTGAATTGTTCAATCGGTTACCTTAAGACGCGACATCGACAACGGAGGGCAGGTCGCTAAAAAAAACTGAGAATAAATATAAATAAAACGTAAAACTATGTAAAAAATCTTAAGTCCCCCCGTGCGAAGCCGGGACGGGCCGCTAGTTAGTCCATAACATTCTTTACGGCAAGGTCGTGCCTTACGTACAGTTTCGCATAAATACTTTTTGTTTCGATGTAACTAATCAACTTATGATATTAGTGGGGTTTCCAATGATACAAGTTCAATGACACTAAGGCAAGGTTGAGTTCATGAAAGATATATATCTGGAGGTATTTTCCACTGTTTTAGAGACCCTTTTTTGTTCTAACGCAGGTACTTTATGGCTCAGTGTATAAATAATGAATCTATGTAGCATATTTGAAAGCGTAATGTACATTGTATTACACTCTGAAAGCTTTTTGAGGACTTGACATCAAGTATGTTAGTGTGGCAATTTTTTTAAAAAGTTTTGTACGCATTGTTTTTCATGTGCGTTAATCTACTATTTGAATTTGCGCCAGGATAAACCTTGTCCATACCATGTCTGGTAGCATATTAATTCTTAAGCTTTTCAGTCCAAGAAACTCGTACCTTGCAATGGCCACCGGACCAACAAAGGCAATAGTTACTCATAATATTTAACAATACTTGCAGGCAGACAATATGATTCAGTGTGAACAGCTGCAGTACTTTCGCGATACAGATAGTGGACGATAAAAAGAATCATGTATTAAACGATAAACTTTATCGTACTTTTATTATGGAGTTATGGAGGAACATCACGTTTCGTAACTACGCTCCTGGCAGCTCTAAACTGTATTACGTACGAAGGAGATATAAGATCAAAATACGGTAGGGATAAATACGTGTTAGTTATCAATGACTTTTCTGCTAAATTACTTGAGGTCTTTCCGTTGTATTTTTCTTCCATTCCTGAACCAAACGTAATCTCATCATTCACGTTATCTTTTATTGAACTACAAAGATTTCACCGTAAATATCTTTTGTATGTAGTTTGTACGTATGCACTATTTGCAAACTCAATTACATAATACTTTCCATTGACGATATTAGTAAGTTAGTTCTTTATCATTCTGAGTTACGGGTATTAATGAATATGTTAGAAAAATACATATTTTTGGTAGTAAACTTACGTGGAGCCTCGACCCTGGCAACAGGTTGTGACAACGCTAGAAACAATAAAAGAATATACATAAGTATCTGCACGGCATACTATCTAAGGGATATCTACGACATTTATTTAATGGGATAAATTATAATGGAGTTCTCCGAACTCTTTGTACTACTTGAATTAATATGACACCTTCTCAAAAGGTTTTCTTATTTAAGTTTTTTCAATTAAAAACGCCCTTATTCTTACTAAAAATTACTTGATCTCAGATTATTCTTCGCTTTTCTTTCAGGCAGTATCTGATCGTTCATCTAATTTTTACATATTTTAAATATTAAAAAACCCATGAACGTTTAATACATTGTAAAAAAATTATGAAAAAAAAACAATGACATCAATGACAATGTACACCTACATAAATCCTATTTAAAACACGTTCAAGAATCAACCAGCTCGATAATATATGCAACGAGAAAGAAATCGATTAATTGGCAACACAGACCAAGTAGGTCAGTAGAACTACAGCATATTCAAATATTGTATGTTGGCAACACGGAAGTATGTAACAATGGATATCCTCGGGTACTAATTACAAATAATTTGTACTTAGAACAACGGAGGCTTGCGTGCGAAGGTCAAGAAGGCTATGTCCGTGTATTTCGGAGAAGTAGTGTCCCAATGGCGAATTTGCAACTCATGGTCGCCATTTATGGTAACCTATCCATCGGCAGATATGGTTACTATAGACAGAATCATTTTGTATGGAGCTTATGTCAACTTGTCTCACGTAGTACTAGAAAATAGATTTCGGTAGCGTGCTAGTTGAAACGTCTATCATGAATTATCAGAAATAGAGTACCTTCATGATTTTTACACACTGTCAGACCTTTCATTAACCGATAGAAAGAGTTCATCTATTTGAAACACATTGTAAACAAACCTCTTTACGTAAAAAGGTCGTCGGTTCGTTTCCAGTGACCCGCAAAGCTAAAGCAAGACCCATAAAGGCTGTGTAGGTTTCAAAATGTTCAGGTACGTGTGAATAATTGAAAACCGCCTACGTATCGGATTATATTGAGGCTTTCTGAATGGCGAATGTAAATATGTCAGTAAATATAAATAAAAATGCTTCGATCGAGAAGATATTCGGTCAAAAGGGCAGAATTAACGATAAGCCTGATTAAGCGGCGGTTTTTTGTGCCACCGCAGTTTACTGATCAATAACTTCAACTAAATATCAAAACACGCTTTTTACTCCGAGATAAAGACAGCATATTTACTAAAATAAACGTATTGATAACAATACCTAAAACGTTTTCACCATTTACAATATTGAGAATCTCACGTAAAATGCGGTGAGCCTATCGCCACATATTGGTCAATATCCCGAGTCCCCTCGTTCGATAGTCGTTCTCGACAGTCAAACTAATTACACAAATACATGAATATCGAATAACAAAAACATTGGAACAAGTTGGACGTCTGTATCGTGTAATTCAATAATACATTAACAGCGCAGTATGAATGTTTCATATTAATTCGTAACGCATCGATACACCTTTCTTCGATTAGCTAGCGGTAACTGATAATATGAGAATGTTATATTTGATTGATACGATTAATGCAAATTTTACTGTTTCGCAAAGCGTAAGAATGGTTAAACATCTAGAGACCTTGAAACTTTAAGAACTACTTTACTAGATACGTGGTTATTAACCGCTTGAATGCATCGATATGAGACACAATAGAAAATGCATTGCGTCTCGTGTGGATTCACGTTTATACACACGACGGGTTAAATGAAGACTTTAGCACTTTCCACAAAAGGCGCAAGTGGGAACCAAGGTCTGTTATCCAATAGAAAAGACTATTGGACATTCAATTTTTTTAAATAATATCTAGTCATTGGACAAAACACACTTCTTCATTCCGTATGTATTGATACAAAGGTGTCTCGGTTAACTGACAAGTGACAAGTTAATAATAGATAGAGACTCAAAGCTTTCATTTTTTAGGAGTAGAAAAATAATTTTTGACTGCATATAAAATTCAGAAAGCAGTTCTTATATATCAAAGGACGTTATATAGTGGACTATAAGCTATACATTCTCTGTAATAGAAAGTAGTCACACTAGTTCCTAGTTATATGTCCATCAGTCGTTCTCAGAACCACAGCACCCACTCACTACTTATACCTACTATTATAAATGCCATTAAGTGTCATCGTATGGTTTCCCCCTACTAGGCAATAACATTGTGATTAACTCGTCGAGTACCGGTTTTATAGACACAATTAAAGAACAATAGGTCGCGGTCACCGGTGACCGCTTGGTGTTTGACAGTTTAACAGTAAATCTGTTCGATACTTATGTGATAGAATTTGAATGGTAACTACACTACTACCTAAATATATGTTTAGTTAGTGTTTGCGAAGATTTTTCCTTCAACAGTTTTACTGGCTGTAGTTACGGTTTTAATAGCTTTGACGTCTAGATATCATTAAAAGATTATGGTATTTCTATCTAAATGATTGTGTAAACAATGAGTGTTAAATAAGTACAAATATTGTTAAACCTCTTACTAATAAAGAAAAAATATAGTAAATGTAAACACTTGGCGACAAAAATGTAGATACATGTAAACTTGGAACTTGTTACATAATGATGATTAACTTAGATGATTGAACTTTATATTAAGTGAACTATGATCTTATTTACATACCTCAAAAACTTATGAAGACTAACCAATCTTTGAATAAAGATCAATGATAAAGATCACCTTCAAAGGTGATAATATCTAGCATAAGAATATTCCTAAATGCAATAAATATGTAACAACTAAATACTAAGTAAACATGTATACTACTAAACCTGTTTAATAAACAGATATTTTGAACAAGAACATTATCATCTAAACAAGCCATCAAATACTGGCCACGCTGAGACGCAGTAAGGTTACAGTCCCACGGTTAAAATTGACCAATTTACTCATTAAATGCAATTAGATTCAAACGTACGACTATGTACACGATTGGCGGACTCTATACTCATTGTAAATAAGCTAGAGCAATGAGTATGATAAATACAACTTCAACAGTAGTAGCAAAATAAAAGGATCTTATTATTTGACACAATACAAAACAGCTCTAATTTGTGGTCACCCGTAATCTTGGCTCATCGGATATTTTACTCGAAGCATGTGCAAGAATAGACGATACACCTATTACAAGTGCATAAGTCTAATTCAATTAAAGAACATTGGAGTGAATACCAAAGAATTAATACTTGAGCTAATGTTATTAGTTTCACGACAAACACACCTGTCGGCATGCGATCAACGCATCGTACGGTGCCAAGCATTCACCGACTATCGTTGTACTTTTACTTTATCTTTAATACCGGGTGTTATTGAATATTCTATAGTGTACCGTGGTGGTCTCGCCATGCATGGACCACCATGGATGCAATTACAACGTGACATTAATTGATGTATCCAGTATAAAAGGTACGGACGGTTTTGTCGATAATGTTGCATCGTGACTACTAATAGGAGTCATGAGAATATGCGAACTTGAAAAGGTCCAACAAGACATGAAACGTAATAATTTACTAAACAATTCTTCTGGAGAATTCAACGCAACGCCTCAACACTATTCATAATTCTATTGAATTGAAAGACAATCTTAGATCATCCGAGCATCACTTCAACAATGACATAAGCACATGCTTCATCTCAAGATCAGAGTAAACGTCTTGATGATACACTATACAAATACAACGAGGAACAAGAAGGTCTTTGACAGCAGAATATTTACAAGCGCAGACATCGATTTGTACAACATTCGACACATGATGTTAAATACTCCAGTTCGGAAAGTTAAACACACAGACAGACACACACACACTTACTTTGTATGTCTTTATAATTGACACGCAAACTCAGCTTGCCTACCACCTCGCCTGGAACACAAGTCACAGAGTTCAAATGCTTGCAATAAAAAGTCGCCAGGAGACAAAAAAGATAGAACCAGTCTGGTTTTGCGTCAGCACTCTAGTCGACACTCGACAGATATTTATTTACTAGTTGACTCGTCGAGTACCGGTTTTATAGACACAATTAAAGAACAATAGGTCGCGGTCACCGGTGACCGCTTGGTGTTTGACAGTTTAATAGTGCCAATATTGGCACCAATAGTTTGTAAAACATAGGCGATTCGTTAACATTTGTAGACAGATCCCTTCCTATAAAAAATCTGTCATGTTTTTGCCTGTAATTTAGGTATTTGCTGAAAACGTTTGTCATTCGTAAGACCATTTAAGCTTGGTATTAAAATTCCTCTTTTGCCATTGGTGTCAGCTCACAGCCGTGCAGTATCCAGCTGACACTTTCACTGACTGCAGTGATTATGTGTGCAATGAGATATTACCGATGCACACGAAACACAGGTCTGGCGAGCTCCCAAACTTGAGGCAAATTATGTCAATAACCTGCTTGGACCGGTTCCAATGATTCTTTTCGCGGAAACATTCGGAAACTATTCATCTGCTTCGATATATTTTTTATGGATTTTCTTCCTAATGAGGCTGAACGTTTTAGTATTGTAATTTGGCATCGAAGCCCTTAAAACAAATTAACATAGACCATTCTGTCGTGAGCTATTTCAATGGTAATAATGAAGATTCTTAGTTATAAACCATTAAAAGAATCGGGCTAGACAACAAAACTTTTGAGCAGTTAATTAAAATACAATTGAAATTCAGACTGGTTTAAAAAATACAAACGAATATATTGTGCTGATAATATTTGTCTGTTTCAGCGAGTTAATTTGCAGTGGCAACAAGAACCTTAGGTGTATAGAAGTATGGAGGAAGATTAAGAATCATTTTGCAATTATTCGCCCCAACAAATTTCCACGATTCTTGCTCAGGTCTGCTGTCAAAGTATAGCTTTACATGATTCATGTTAACATCCACGCTGAACTATGTTACAGTTGGCATGTACCCAACGTCAGGGAGTCGGGTGCTGATTGAAAATACTTCTGTTGCGTGAATCGTATAC